TATTATTATTATTATTATTATTATTAAAGAATTTCTGAATTTTTTACCAGATACATGTAAGATTCAAGTTTGTATGGAAAAGTGCTCAATAAAGTTTATTATATTATTAAATTATTATTATTATTATTATTATTATTATTATTATTTATTGGCATTAATTACAAATCACAACGTACACTACCAGAGTATTGTGCAAGCTAATCAAGGCAGGCACTGTAACAACCAATAATACATAAGTCACAATAAAAAATAAAGAACAAAATTTAACTAACAAACACATAAGCAAGTACAATGAGTCAAACTAGTGATAAGTATGACTAATAATGGAAGGAGTTGTGAAAAGGGAGAGTAGTAGTTGTGTTGTATCCAACAGAAATGGCAACCATTAACTGCAGTTACTGCACCAGCACAGTTGGAATAGAGTAAAACTTATCTTCAGAGTCCTATTTGTTACCTTTAAATGATATGTTCTCAGTTCATAAATATGGCTTGGAGACCGTGGCTCAGGTTCACCAAAGAAACTAAACTCACGGAGAAGCTGATTTTCCCTGTTGTTTAGCATAGTTCGCCTCTTTCGTACAAACTCAAGGTACTCCTGGAGGAAGAAAACGATTCTGTTAAATAAGTACTTGTTTCACCTTGCTTGCCCTTACTTGATCAACTGGGCCAGAAGGAAAACATGAGAGAACCAGAAGAATTTGCAACTTCAGCACTGGGCAATTAAACATTATTTAATATTGTCAGTATTTTCTTCTTTATAAGTGCAGGGAATTCAGTGTACATTATTTGCTAAGTATTTGCACTAGACATGTAAAGGATAATCGTAAGTGACTTTCTTCAACTTAACATAATTTTATCTTATCAAGAATTGAAGTAAGACTTCCATTTGTTTCTTCTTGTTACAGAATTTTTTTTATTCTCATTCCATCTCTCCCAAAAGAAACAAACTATGGGTAATATAATTGACCACACTGTTCTTAAAGTGAGATGATTTTATCTGATACCAATAAACATCTCTTTATATATAATGGTTTCAATACATAACCAGGCCAGGATAAATGAATGACTTTTACATTTGACAAGAAACTGCATACTATTATTGATCATACAAAACCACTGACATAATGATTTTGAAGATCAGCAACTACTGTAGGTAGGTAATGCTAATATAATAAGATTGCTGACCTTCTACTCTCTGGTGACTTTTCTTATTAATAGTGCATGTAAGTTTAGATTCTGACCTTTTGCTAACTGTGAGGTGATTGAAATCTTGAGCTTACAGTACTAAATGCATAAAGCATAGGGATCTCAAGCTTGAACTTAAATAACACTTTTATTAATAGCTATATTTTTTTTGGTTTTGTTTTTTTTTTTAAAGCAGACCTTATTTTCTCTGATGTACTGCTTGGCTTTCACAACTGACTCGTATCCGCCTCTGTATTTCCAAAAGTGAACTATGGATGTAAAATGAAATTATTAACTTATTACTTCATATGTAAAATGAATTCATTAACAGAAACTACAGTTAATCAAGGGTTATACTGCATGTTGGCATGGTCCACTTAAGGACGTTCACATTACTGCGCATCCTTTCTGTGCACGAAGTTCATGTAGCAATGTCATGCCATGTCATACATCAAGCATGTGCACTAAGGAAGAAATATAAGCAAGTATAGGGTTTGGCACTGGATGCGCTGTAATCTCGCATGCAATATACTCTCTTGGATGCTAGGTGACCACAAATTTTCTTTCCACAAATCAATTCCTTTCTAGATTTCATCCATGTTAACAAAAAAAACAGGAAAAATCTATTTGTGAGAAGTTACAAATATTTTCGCTTTTTCTGCTCTCATGTGAGCAAAATTTTCTTCGAATGTGGATGGGCAACTCTAATATTTATTCTTTTTCTAGGCCTATTTAACCTCAAGAAATGGCATCAGCTCTAAAAAATTACTTAATACACTTAAGTTAGTTGTGTTGAACTAAGTACATTTACCTGACCTAAATTTCACTAATGTACCGGTAGCTTTTTTATGTCCAATAGTTGTAAGCTAACTTTGTCTTAAAATAACAAAAACCTACAATAATGCATGGTCTTCAATGCACCTTATCTCAAAAACGAGCACGGTGACTCCCTATTTTTTGAGCTTTTTGGCAAACGTTTATCTTAAAAAAAAAAATCTTTACCTCACTTCACGATAAGCTTTAAAACAATCTATTCGTAGGAACATTTTGGGCATGAATGTTCTTAATAACTTCAAAATGTATGATTGGTATAACCTCAAGGTGAGGAAAAAAGTCCCCCAAAGGGGAGGACTGATGTCTGAAAGGGATGGGGATGCTTATCATCTTTTTACAGGGGAGTTAATTGCAGATTCCAGAATCACTTAGGGTGTTAACAAGGAACGTGTCCTTGATTAAGGGTTAAGAGTTGTTGGCAAAGAAAATTAATAAAGTGCAAAGTCATGATTTGTTCGTGGAATAGAGCAATCAAGCATGATGACAAAGCATTGTTATTATGTCATTAAAGTCCCTGTAGCTCTTATTTGCCTGTCTGTTTTACAAATATATCTTTTAGGTGTTAAATATAGTCTGAACCAATAATGCTCACATTGGTCTCTTTGATCAGGGGTTTAAGTTAAATTTTCAGACAAATGTCCCCGCCCTTATATCCCCCAGGAGACACAGTCCTGCCTGCCTGCCCCAATCCCTTGTGTGAAACAAGCAAGCTGCAACACAGTGTAAAGTGCTTCGTCTTTTTTCAGTCTCAAAGTGATCAAAAGATAAGAGAAAATGTTTACATTTTAGGCAAGTATCTGTAACGTATCATTCACATAGGTCTACCTGTTGATAAATGCATTGCATGTAATTTTTTACATACTTGCTTGATCAAGTCTTCCAAACATAGTTGTCCAGGCGCCAACTAACTCCCCAGGAAATTGTTTGTCTGCACTGAGTTTGGGTAAAGTCTCTGCACTGAAAAAGTTAATATTTTTTTAATCAAAGTGACTATAAGCCACTTGACTAATAAAATGGATCACTTGTAAACAGGGGCAATTTTCATTGGTTAGTAACATTAACAAGATGGGTCCAAGGATGGAGAGGATTGTTTACTCTTGGTTATTACAAAGCAAAAAGATTGTTACAATGTTTTGACTATAATTTCAGAGTCTTAGTCATGTAGTTCGATCAAAACACGTTAACAGCTTATATATCAAGGTTAACAATTATTTAATTAGCCTTAATAATTATATAAGCTGTTTACTTGTTTTGATATAACTGTAAGAATATAAACAAGCAGTTAAAGCCCACTGGTTTGATTAAGAAACAAAAGCTGATGACTGTAAGAAATAATGCAAAATGCACCAGTAAGTGAATCCATAGGGGAAGTGATGCCATTTAAAACATTCATGAAGTCATCATTGTCTGAGAAGTTACCACAAAGAAAGTACCTCTTCTATATGA